CTGAACGTGGTTATTGCCCTGAGACTGAAAGATGTCAGTTCAAATATCCTTACAAGCCTTCGGGTCGAACTTTAGGTTCTCTGTGCTCTTTGTCCCCACATGCAGTTCTGTTGAAGTGTATTTACGAAAAATTTGAACCTCTCCTTATTCTATTATGATTTCTTTTTAAAATTTACTGTTATCTGGGGTGGTGAGTGACTCCACAGCACTTCTAATTATTTCTAAGCTATCTAGAGCGCAGCGAAGTTTGCCAATTTCTTTGGCTGAACTATGCTATTAAAGAAAATTAATAGCATGATTTATTCGATGATTTATATGACCCGTTTTTTAACTAGGTGACGGGCTCGATGCGGTTCCAACCCACCGAAGCTGCCTTTTTTTCAAAATTGGATTGACGAACATCTTAAAAAGGACAGAGAATATCTGAAGCCCTGTTATTTTATGAATTGAAGCGAATATTAGCATACTTTTTACCAAGCATATATTTTTGAGCCACCCATTCTAAGAAAAAATAGTAAGCTTATGATTCAAAATCAGATATAGCAACAAGCCATTAAACTAATCAACGTATAAATTTATTAGTAATGCTGAAATGGAATCGCCGGAGACCAGAATGGTTATTTCTGGCTTGTTAACCGTCATCAGCCAGTCATACCCAATCCCGGGTATGGGTCCCCGGGACCTGTGCTCATTGTGTGCAACACTCTGCCATTGCACCACGGGCTCGTTTTTTTTTCCGCTTGCGATCAGGAAGATGATGAACGTTAGGGTGTTCACCAATTGGGTCACAGAACACGCTCATCCCGGTGTGGCCTGAAGCTCAATCTAGAGCCCTCGCAGCAGTCGTATAGCGACTTATAGCACGGCAAACTCTGTACTTGAGCCGGCTTAGTTAATGAGAAAGTATCGTGTGATAGGGTGTGGCCTAATGCAAATCATTTTCACTGTTGACGCCAGCATTCGTGGTTAACTGTATTTGGTTCAACTCGAACTTCGTCAAAATTACACGACGCTTTGTTAGGCCACCAACAGTCCGACCTTAGTTACGCCATGATGAGCGTCTGATCTAAAATACAACTTGATCATTCAGGCATGATGCGTAATCACAGTGGAGAACTGAGAAGAAGGAGCTGCGATCAAATCCACACTTAGAGGACCCGAATCGCCGGCCCTAGATCCCAGGGTGATTAGAACCAAACATGGGTT